GGGGTCCACATTGCTTGTACTTGCAGCTGCCGTAGTGTGGCTGCTTCTCTGCGTTGTAGGTCTCGGTGAGGCGGTGGGTAGAGGCGTCTGCTCGTTCTGTACCACTGCAGAACGTCGGAGTAGGTAGTGATAAAATACTCTCCGTCTTCGGCATCGGGTCGTTGCGGCTCCGAGGAATGCGTTGACAGAGACCCGCAGCTAGTTAGCGCGTGTGCCTCCGTATCTGCCTCCTCGTTGCGGTTCGGGCCCACGTCCAGCTCCCCGGCGTGCGCAGGGAACCACTTGACGGTACACGACCATCTTGCATTCCATATTTGTTACTTCTCAACAGTATTTGCTTCATGGTCGGTCAAGGGGTGGATCAGTGATGGGGCGTAGTGGGATGTTTGCAAGGACGAAGTAGTGGGCAGTTGGCAAAGGTGGAACGATAAGCGGTCGCGTACAAACAAGGGATGGACACAGTGGGAATATCTATGGTTCTATGACGTGCGCCTGGATAAAAGTACACGACCATCATGCATTCCATATTGGTTACTTCGCAACAGTATTTGCTTTATGGTCGGTCAATGGGTGGATCGGTGATGGGGCGTAGTGGGATGTTTGCAAGGACGAAGTAGTGGGCAGTTGGCAAATGTGGAACGATAAGCGGTCGCGTGGATCGGTGATGGGGCGTAGTGGGATGTTTGCAAGGACGAAGTAGTGGGCAGTTGGCAAAGGTGGAACGATAAGCGGTCGCGTACAAACAACGGATGAACACAGTGGGAATATCTATGGTTCTTTGACGTGCGCCTGGATAAAAGTACACGACCATTTTGCTTTCCATATTGGTTACTTCTCAACAGTATTTGCTTTATGGTCGGTGAAGGGGTGGATCGGTGATAGGGCATAGTGGGATGTTTGCAAGGACGAAGTAGTGGGCAGTTGACAAAGGTGTAACGATAAGCGGTCGCGTACAAACAAGGGATGGACACAGTGGGAATATCTATGGTTGTTTGACGTGCGCCTGGATAAAAGTACACGGCCATCATGCATTCCATATTGGTTACTTCTCAACAGTATTTGCTTTATGGTTGGTCAAGGGGTGGATCGGTGATGGAGCGTAGTAGGATGTTTGCAAGGACGAAGTAGTGGGCAGTTGGCATAGGTGGAACGATAAGCGGTAGCGTACAAACAAGGGATGGACACAGTGGGAATATCTATGGTTCTTTGACGTGCGCCTGGATAAAAGTACACGACCATCTTGCATTCCATATTTGTTACTTCTCAACAGTATTTGCTTCACGGTCGGTCAAGGGGTGGATCAGTGATGGGGCGTAGTGGGATGTTTGCAAGGACGAAGTAGTGGGCAGTTGGCAAAGGTAGAACGATAAGCGGTCGCGTACAGACAAGGGATGGACACAGTGGGAATGTCTATGGTTCTTTGACGTGCGCCTGGATAAAAGTACACGACCATCTTGCATTCCATATTGGTTACTTCTCAAAAGTATTTGCTTTATGATCGGTCAAGGGGTGGATCAGTGATGGGGCGTAGTGGGATGTTTGCAAGGATGAAGCAGTGGGCAGTTATAGGCCGTCACGTATATGCACACATACAAAGGATGTACAGACCCACACTTTTAGGAGCTTCGCCCCTAAAAACTGCAGTCACTTTGTCGAACAAAAAATGCTGTTCTCCGACGTGAGAAACGGCGCTTCTTGTGGGATCTGTAGGACAGTGATGGCGACCTAAATAAAGCTTTTTGCTAAACCAAGCTTAAACGAGTCGAATATGCTAGTTATACGTTCATCGATGCAACAGTTCTTTAGATACACCTTATTTTATTATGGGGACCTATGTGTCCCGTGTACTTCATAGGGAAGACTCTGAAAAGCTGCTCTTCCAGCTTTCTCTGGGATTGTGCAGCGCGTCCGGAGCAGTCCTGGCGTTTATATCATTTAGTTTGTTGATGCTGTGGATTATAGTGATGAAGAATGATGTCTGAGCCCTTCCTAATGGTTGGGAAGATTTAAACCACCCATTCGCTACACAGATAACATTGTGTAATGCCTGGTTGCTATTTTACTCTTTTACTCCGCCATATTATATCTATGAACTCGATTCCTTGCCCGACTTGACTCATGTGTATGGCAAATATTCCGAAGGAGTTTCAAGAACCTTCGTTTCTCTGTGGTGGGATACGCGGCAGCAACGCAGAGAACCTGGATTCAGATCCCGTTAGGTCGTGCATGTTTTTTTTTCCTTTTGCATTCTGCGCTATATCAGTTGACAACACCGTCGGCAGCACATAACTACGTCACCGAAATCGACTGTTGCGATCACATAACAGCCTGTGATGAAAGAGATTAGTAAAGAAAGCCCAGACTTGTGGTGGTGTGTCGCCCTTCGGCGGCAAGACCATGGCGGTGCTATGCGGGCTAGGCTGCCTTTCCTTTCAATAGAAATGGCTTGCGTGACGCCATAAGAGTGCAACAACAAAACCTCGCGGCAGCAGTTAATCGCGTGTACTTGAGATCGGCCCGATAACGCTGGACGTCGGTGGACACTCGAACACGTCTGTAGGCTCCGACCGGCCCGTCGCAGTCGCGTCTGTACGACTGTATACGCGGCGTCGTGGCCTGTAGTCGAGTGCTCCTGGAGTGGCGCTGCTTGTTTGCACCTTGTACCGCAAAATAAGCCGATAAGATGACAATGGGACGCGAAGGACGATAAGAGACGCTCACGCGACCCTGCTGCACTTTATAGCGATTGGGATGACGACACGACTCTTTTGAGTGGCAAAAATGAGTGGCACCTCGCCCTCTAAGCGACGTTCAGTCCTTCACTCCCTTCACTTATAACACGGGTGCGGTGCAATGCATAATATTGCACGATTGGCACAGCTTTCTTTACGTTGACGTCACTCAATCGTGGTTCTATCTTTGCGGAGTGGTGGCCATCGCCTTGATTGATATGTGGGGTTTAACGTCCCAAAACCACCATATGATTATGAGAGACGCCGTAGTGGAGGGCTCCGGAAATTTTGACCACCTGGGGTTCTTTAACGTGCACCCAAATCTGAGCACACGGGCCTACAACACTTCCGCCTCCATCGGAAATGCAGCCGCCGCAGCCGGGATTCGAACGCGCGACCTGCGGGTCAGCAACCGAGTAACTTAGCCACTAGACCCGCGGCGGGGCAGGCCGTCGGCTTAGTCAATGTAAGCTGCAGATTATTTTATTTAGGGTATGCCAACATCACTCCAATATGACAATTATTGGGGTTTATGTCCTAAATATACGCTATTATCATGAGAGGCGCCAAATAAAAAAAGGCGGGGAGAGGGTGAGCTTTGAAAATTTCGGATACCTGGTTTTTTTAACGTGTACATAAATATAAGCACACGGGTTTACTCTGTATTTCACCTCCATCAAAGCACGGTTTGATGCAGGCCGCCGCGGCCGCACTTCGGTGGAGGTGGCCCACGTGCTGTGTGACCTCAGAGCACGTTAAAAAACCCCAGATGGTTCGAATTTCCGGGAGCCCTTCATTACTGCGTATACCTCGTAATCATATCGTGGTATTGGGACATAAAACCCAATGAGAAGCATGGACTGCCAGGCGAGTTGGCAACTCGTCTTAACGGTGGTGCTCGAAAAAAAATGAAGCACAAAGGAAGGAAGCTGGACACAGTGCACCACCGCCTTTTTGCGCACCACCATTAAGAATAACCCAAGTTTTCAAATATTACTGTTATTATCGTTAATGTTGTTAATAATCCTTCGAAGCGTGGCTGCTAAGACTGGAATTTGGTCCCGACGCCTCCAGGTCAGCGTCCAAGCACTATGACCACTGAAGTACGGCGTACAAGGGCAAGAAAGTGCGTGAAACGGGCGCGTACTTTCTGGTGCTCGTATTTGTATTGTTTTGATTTTTAATAAAATGGCTAAATAGCAACTAGTTCGCGTTTTGCTTAGGATATGACTGGTTAACTAAAAAAAATGAAAACACAGTTTACTTTTCGTGAATTGGGCCAAACGCCATGTATTTATCTTGAAGATGCCGCCGGTAGGTTTGTTTATTTGCTGTCTCGCTTTTAAAATAAAAAAATAGTATGAGCTTTAAATTGCTGTTCTAGTTGTCAAGTTGTCTCTTGCGTCCTTGTCAAGACTTACGAGACGCGTCAAAGTGACACTTTTCCAGCGAGGTGCGTAGGCACACACCACGTGGTTACATTTCAGGTCGAAGTTCACTCTAATTTGAACAAGTATACAACTTGTCACGCTCCGCTCTCTAAGTTCCATCGGAGCCGTTCTCGCGCAGCGATGCAACGCCTGCGTTGAAGCTTGCACTGAATACATTGAACACCATCGCAGTAGCAATCTGAGGCGATTTTAGCATCTAGAGTTTTCTACTATCATTACTAGAAGTAACTCTGGCGCAGTGATTGTTCAGCCTTCATGGGAACTAGAGGTATATAGTTTGTGCATTTGCCTATAGTCTTCGGGCCTTCGAACGTCCGCGTGGCTTAATTAGTTTATTGTTGGTTTGATGATTGTTCCGAATAGAAAGAATGGATTGTTGTGAACTTTATGACCCGATAAGAATTGGCGAGCCAAAAAAAATGTCAATGTGATGAAGTACAATTGTAAGACGTTAGCTGAACGTCGTCTTGCGACGAAGCAGCTTTGGGCCATACGAAACCAAACGGAGCCAAAATGATGGAACTTTGACCAATTAATTTATACCTATCATTCAGCCATCAGCGCATGACTGAAGCGCCATGCGTTGTGGCTCCGATATATGCTAGCACCAGATTTCAATCTAGCGCTTTATTAGGAAACTCTGTGTCTCACCGCACTGCCAGAGGCTTGCTTTTGCTTTCAATGCCTCGCTTTTGGGCTTACTTGTCAGTTTCTATAACCGTCACTCAGACCTCGTCATGGCGTTTTTTAGTCTGTACGCATGAGGCGTGCTCAAGGCATGTGGTTTTCCCACATTGTTACACATATCAAAACATTGTGTCCTTGTTGTAAAACTTTATTGAACTTGTAATGATTAAAAGCGGAATTCTGTGACCCGCTTGTAAAAGCACAAAAGGGAGCGTATATTCTTCATTCAGTGCTATACCTACTGGTACTTCTTGAGAAACTCTTCAATCTCCCGACACATTTCGCCGATCGCGTCTTCCGAGGCAGACCATTCTTCTGGCGGAGATGCTGCGATTGTGGAAAGGAGGCGGTCCAGTCTCTGTTTCAGTAGCGAGAGTTGCCTTTCCTCTTCTGGTGCTTCTTTAACAGCGCCATATTGCGCAGGTCTGAACAAAGAGAAAAGCTTCTTCATAGTTCACTGTGGGCCTTGTTAAACTTTGACTTTAGAGATTCTAACTGTTTCTTGATAAGAACAGCTTGCTCCCCTACTGCGTCTTGGAGCTCGACAACTTTGGCGCGTATTTTTTGACCAAGTGTTTGAAACTTCTCTTTCAACGTCCTCGCTGTATCCTTAAGCGTGTCTATTACGCTTTGACTGGGGACACTGTCTTCGGCCGCGTACATGACTACACCTGTTCGTCCCGCGAGCAGTTCACGCACCTTTTTGCCGTATCTCTTCGCGTAAGCTCAGCGATAACCTCCTTAACGTGCTCCCATTTCTCCGCAGTGAGGGTTTTAACATCTTCAAGAAACATTAGGAAGCTTCTGACGAAGCACATTCAATTTCTGGTAAATCATAGCGGCGTTATCTTCGAATGATGCGTATGCTGCTGGCCGGAAAAGTTTAAAAAGCTGTCCCTTTAGATCTTCCCTAGCGCGCTGAAGCTGGGCGTAAAGGTCCTTCAACTGCTCCTGGATCAACAGCTGCGTGCTCACCAACAGCTGCCTTGAGCTCCGAGAGTTTGGTCCTTGATCTTTTCTCCAAGGACAAGAAACTTCTCTTTCAACGTAACAGCAACATCTTGCAGTGCTTTGGTGAGGTAACCTTCTTGTTCATCATCTAACGCATGGTACAAGGCAGGTTGGGCTTTAGTGCGATTAAAATATAGACCAACTTGGTACCTGATTTCCTTACGCAGGCGTTCAATCTTCGACTTAACGTCATCGAACTTATCCTGTCCCTCATCTAGTTCCTTCAGCAGAACAGCCAAACGCCATCTCAGAGAGAACATTCTTGTCGCCAAAGAGAGCGTTCCTCTCTGCCAAGGGGGAGCTCCTCCGTACCTTGTTCTGGGTGTCGTCACTGCTTCCTAAGTCATTTGCTTTTCTATTTAGAAGTTCCTTCACTTTCTCTCTGATCTCGCTACGCAGGCTCTGGATGATCCCCTTGAGCTTTTCCCACTTCTCGCCTGTAGCCGACTGAACATCGGTGAGAAACTTCTGAAGCCTTTCTCGCAGGCCGGTGAGGTAAGACAGAATTTGGAAGGCGTTTACATTAGAGTCCGAGTACGTCGCAGGGACGAAGAGCTCAGAAAGCTTCTTAGAGAGTGCTTCGCGCGCAATCCTCAGCTGTTCGGAGAGAACCCTGAGTTGTTCTTTAATCTGCTGGGCGTGAAATCCAGCGGCTTTTTTCAGTTCTTGAGTCTTGTTCTGTATCTGGCCACCGATAACGAGGAACTGGTCCTTCAGTGTCCTTCCAATGTCCTTGAGCGTATCCACGATGTAGGCCTCGTAGTCGTCATCATCCCGTGTGTCGAGGGCAGTGTAAGTGGCGGGAGCCGTGGAGCCGTGGAGAAGCTCCTGAACCTTTTGCCTGATCTCGCTACGCAGCTCCTGGATAAGCCCCTTGAGCTTTTCCCACTTCTCGCCTGTAGCCGACTGAACTTCGGTAAGGAACTTCTGAAGCCTCTCTCGCAGACTGGTGAGGGAAGATAGAATTTGGAAGATGTTTACATTGGTGTCCGAGTACCTTGCAGGGACGAAGAGCTCGGAAAGCTTCTTAGAGAGTGCATCGCGAGCTATCTTCAGCTGTTCGGAGAGAACCCTGAGTTGTTCTTTAATCTGCTGGGCGTGAAATCCAGCGGTCTCTTTGAGTTCTTGAGTCTTGTTCTGTATCTGGCTGCCAATAACGAGAAATTGGTCCTTGAGTGTTCTTCCAATCTCCTTGAGCGTATCCACGATGTAGGCCTCATAGTCGTCATCATTCCATGTGTCGAGGGCAGAGTAAGTGGCGAGAGCCGTGGAGCCATGTAGAAGCTCCTGCACCTTTTTCCTGATTTCGCTACGCAGCTCCTGGATAAGCCCCTTGAGCTTTTCCCACTTCTCGCCTGTAGCCGACTGAACTTCGGTAAGGAACTTCTGAAGCCTCTCTCGCAGACTGGTGAGGGAAGACAGAATTTGGAGGACGTTTACATTAGAGTTCGAGTACCTTGCAGGGACGAAGAGCTCCAAAAGCTTTTTAGAGAGTGCATCGCGAGCAATCTTCAGCTGTTCAAACAGAACCTTAAGCTGCTCTTTGATCTGCTGGGCGTGAAATCCCGTGGTTTCTTTCAGTTCTTGAGTCTTGTTCTGTATCTGGCTGCCGATAACAAGGAACTGGTCCTTTAGTGTTCTTCCAATGTCCTTGAGCGTATCAACGATGTAAGCCTCATCGTCAGAGGCTTGTCTCTTGTGCAGCCGCAGGGACCTTGGGGATATAACACAATTATTTTAGGTTATTCCTCAGTAAAGTGATTATTGTCACAGTATTATTTCTATTATTGTGAAACCATGCGACTACGATAGCTTGATAAGTTTGTATTCAGTTAATACCTAAGACGTATGTGATTGTATATTCTGGGCTATGCTCGATTGGGCTGGGCTTTACTTCGACCAGCTGAGTGCTGTGTTTGTTGAAAAGCCACGCGCCATGATATTCGTCTTATTTAGGTCGTGGAAATGCTGCTTATGGAAAATGTAGTAGGTTAATGTCATATTTTTAAAATATTGTGGTGTATAAGTTACGTGAAGTAATATAGAGAACGATTGAGTCATTAGAGTGTTAATTTTATCGAGGATAATGCAGACGGGGAGTCGGTTGGAAGAAGTTGCACTTAGGTTATAGTTACAAATAAAAATGAACCCAGCTATGAGAACATCAACCACTGACAGTCGATTTTTTTCAAATAAAATGTTCAGCTTTTGTAAGGTTATTGTTTTTTTGCCCTCTAGCTTGTGCACGTAATGATTACAATTTTGTCCATCCTTAAATGTTTGCTGAAGTGAACTTGTTTTGATAACGCTAGATATTGGCCGATGAAATGCTTTAATCGTTAAGAATATTGCTTTATATGAAGCGACGAAAGGGGAGGGAAGGCGATAACGATTATGTTTTGGCAAATATACTGTGCCGCCTGAGAGCAGGGAAGTGACCACAGAGGTCAAAGCTAGTGCTGTGCTAGTTGATGATGATATTTCAGTACTTAACCATAAAATGGGAACAATGATAGCGAAGAGCTGAAGACTTACCCTGCATTGCACACTGTAGTGGTCCCAGCAGGCAATGTGAATGAAACGAATACAAAAAAAATTATTGAGATAACGGGAAATTCTGAATCCTAGAAATTGGGACACAATATATATGATTTTGTCCGTATTTAAAGTGATATGTAGTCAAACGATTCTAGTGAATAGTTTATTTTTTCTACTCGATCTCCTGCGGTGGTATACCGAGCATGTTTAGCGATCTTTCGAAGCGTGTTTAGGTTATGGCACCTCAAGGTGTTAGGGTCAGTCTCAGAAATTTCGTATTGAGAAAAGCCTTTGAAGAGTGTTTAATACTTCATTATCCGTGTGCCAGCATACTGCACAGCTCTGCTCTGAACGTGCTACTGACTGCTCGATGTGGGATGTCATGGTATGTGGTAGCCCAGTGAGCCTCGTGCTGGTATTGTTTTGAAAGTCCGAGTTTATCTCTTCGTACGCATTAGTTAACTTAGGCATGTGATGAGAAATGCTGCTTATAGAAAATGTAGTAGGTTGATGTCATATTTTAAAATATTGTGGTGTATAAGTTACGTGAAGTAATACAGAGAACGATTGAGTCATTAGAGTGTTAATTTTATCGAGAATAATGCAGATGGGGAGTCGGTTGGAAGAAGTTGCACTTAGGTTATAGTTACAAATAAAAATGAACCCAGCTATGAGAACATCAACCACTGACAGTCGACTTTTTTCAAATAAAATGTTCAGCTTTTGTAAGGTTATTGTGTTCTTTTGCCCTCTAGCTTGTGCACGTAATGATTACAATTTTGTCCATCCTTAAATGTTTGCTGAAGTGAACTTGTTTTGATAACGCTAGATATTGGCCGATGAAATGCTTTGATCGTTAAGAATATTGCTTTATATGAAGCGACGAAAGGGGGGGGAAGGCGATAACGCTTATGTTTTGGCAAATATACTGTGCCGCCTGAGGGCAGGGAAGTGACCACAGAGGTCAACGCTAGTGCTGTGCTAGTTGATGATGATATTTCAGTACTTAACCATAAAATAGGAACAATGATAGCGAAGAGCTGAAGACTTACCCCGCATTGCACACTGTAGTAGTCCCAGCAGGTAATGTGCATGAAACGAATACAAAAAAAAATATTGAGATAACGAGAAATTTGATATCCTAGAAATTGGGACACAATATATGTGATTTTGTCCGTATTTAAAGTGAGACGTAGTGAAACGATTATAGTGAATAGTTTATTTTTTCTACTCGACATCCTGCGGTGGTATACCGAGCATGTTTAGCAATCTTTCGAAGCGGGTTTAGGTTATCGCACCACAAGGTGTTAGGGTCCATTTCAGAAATTTAGTATTGAGAGAAGAAGTCTTTGGAGATTGTTTAATACTTCATTATTCGTGTGTCAGCATATTGCACTGCTCTGCTCTGAACGCGCTACTGACTGCTCGATCTGGGATGTCATGGTATGTGGTAGCCTAGCGAGCCTCGTGCAGGTATTGTTTAACGTCCGAGTTTATCTCTTCGTACACATTAGTTAACTTACGCATGTGGTGAGAACAGCTGGTTAATTTATTGCTTAGTTAATTCAAGTACAGCACAGCTTCCTATCATGGGAACAACGTTGTGCAAAGGTATCCAAGACGAACAACATAGATCGATCACTTTGCCGTTCGCAGTGCAAGTAATCAGTATATTATGAACGTAAACAGCAAACTGTTAGAGTATTGGGTTCCCCGATCAGGCAGAAAAAACTCAACAAAATTATCTTATTAACATTTTGAGAAGTGTACGCTGTGATTGCACACTCAACCGTTTGTAGTCTTTTTTAAGCTTTTGCTTGCTCCTTTTTCTCTCATGAGGGATTAATTAATGACAATAAGCCTGGTTGCATGCCTCCCTGGGAGTTCATCACCACCACATCTAATAAGACAACAAAGTTTCGGCGCAACAACACATCAGCTACACTTGACGAATGCTTCGTCATCGATGCGCCATGCGCTAACACCTGCAAAGTATATACAAATGCTGCTATCCTAGAAGACGGCGAAAAGACACCATTCCTGAGTACGACGCATAATTTTGTCGATTGTCACCAGCGTTATATATCCACGGAAGCCAGTGCTCTTATGATCGAACTACAAGCCATCCATGACGCAGTCCAGGATTCAACCTTTAAGCTGTCTACAATAAAGCAAACTGACATAATCACTGATTTCTTAGGAGCTATTCAGAAGCTCAAGAAAGCTCACAAGACGATGGAAATCTGCGAGGCAATTCATAAGATGAACTGCAATACAGATGCTTGCGGCCAGGTACATTGGGTTCAAGGCCATGCTTCGAGCCCACACAATATTGCTGCTGACCAGCAGGCACACTGCCCTCCAAATATATACTTTCCAGCTATTCCACTTCCACCTCAACCTCTAAACGCACTCCGGCGTAAAAATTTCTCCGGCAGGATACGCGTGCTCTTATCCCACCGTGTGTCTGGTCTCTCCCTCCTCCCTTTCTAGGGGGGAGGAAGTCGTGCTTAGGAGGCTTCGGGAAGGGGTGGCCCTTACAGTGACTGTTATATCATAGTGGAACTGGGCGCAATTACTAGTTGGTGATACGTGTCCATACTGTACCACTGCAGTGACGCAAGCAGATGCATACCACCTTATGTGGCATGCCAAGGGTTACAGTCGGAACGCTCCTCGTCACCTCTTGCAAGCCGGCCTTCGCTACAATGACACAACCAGTTACATGGCATCACGCAACCATATACATCACAACACATTCCACAAGACACTACTTCAATTTATACTCAACACCGGCCTAACGGCGCAAATTTAATACATATACACGCACAAAATATCATGCTTTAAGAGCAAGTCTATGTCGCAATAAAACTATTAATATTAGTATATAATCGGCTTTTCAAGAAGTAAGCTTGTTTCTTTAATTTTCGCAGTCAACTATCATTACAATGGCGGTACCTTGTGAAATATTCAACTTATATAAGGTCAATATTCTGCAGGTCTCAAAGTTGCGCGTTTTTTTTTTAAATAAAACATTAACTTACGGCTTGTCGCTGTTACAAGAGCGACCAGGGCGATGAAGTGGAGCTTCATCGTCTGGAAGGGGAAGAAAAGACAAATAAAAAATTGTGACCGTTGCATGCTCGCCCTATCCCTGCAGCGCTAATCAGAGCTGCTCTTTCATTCGAAGTAGGACTTATATGACTCTGTGCCAGTGACGCGTAGCCAGGCAGTGGGAAAACGGGCTCGTCCACTTCCCCCCCCCCCCCCGTTTTTCTTTTCGCCATGGCATGCAGAGCACAAAGTGACCCTCAACCGCATCTACCTGCCCGGCCGCCACCTCAGAACAAGATGGTGCTCCCCCTTCTCCCTTCTAGAAAAAATTTCAGCCAACGCCCCTGCTCTGCGCACTGAAGAGTGACTTGGCGGTGTTAGTGAAGCTTGATGCTCAATGATGATGTTCTTAACGTCCATTGTCTACTGCTCAAGCTTCTACAATCACTACTTCTCTTATCACATAATGGCGGGAGGTGGGGGGGGGGGCACGAATTCGCTTCATACCGTTACTCAGTAAAAGTTGTTTCGTCATTATTTAAAGAGCAGGGTTACGGTCACGCAGGTTGTTTAGAGGTGGCCGAAGGCCCCTGATGATGTCGCGTTCCAACAACTGTTGACTCGCAATGTTACCCCCGCTAAGTTAGGGGCAAAATACAGCCAGGGCTTGTTGAGAATCACGTCATCACTTCCTTTTCACCCGTGCTGTCATTTGTACTCGAGAGAGGTTGGTGGGGGTTAAAATGAAATTAGCCCCCCCCCCCCCCCCCCTAATGAGCTACCCTGCGCGCGCCTTGGCTCCCTCAGTTCTTTAACGCATTGCACTTCAGACTAGGCACCTTAGTGCTTTTTTGCCTTTCGTCATCATCGAAACGTTGCCGCTGCTGGCGGAAATTGAACCCACGTTATTCAGCTTAGCAGGGTGACACCACCGTCGTCATGCATGACGGGCGTGCTCATGGTGGCTCTGGTAAAATGGACGCATATTATGACTAGCCGTGAGAATAGAAATAGAGTTAGACACCCGTGGACATAGCGATTTATGAGCAAACAAACGAAGTTTAGACTTAGCGTGCATCGTGTGCTAGGACACGTTAGCGATCATGTACGAAAAAAAAAATGATAGTGATTGAAATAGCGGGATAGACAATTCCCGGACATCTTATTTGGACAACATCTAAGAACCGCGCTTCGAAACGAAACACTCACCAGGACGTGGACAGTAAAGCTGCGTTGGGAGGCATGGGTGGCGATCAGCTTTATATATTCGCATGTCGGAGGCAGGCGACGCTGGGACTCGACGCAGCTGTCGTGTGCACTGCGATAAAGCTGGATCCGGATATATGGCAAATGTATGTCAAGATGTATGTCAAGTTCTCACGCTCAGCAACAGCTAGGCAGTTTCACCTGCTCATAAGTTTAGGGTGCTGTCGCAAGAGTGTCAATTACCTGGTGAATATCCCGTAATGTTGAGCACTGGCTGTGCTTAGCTAAGATAACTTCGCGAGACGAAACGTTAGGTTCTGAAACAACGCTTGTTATTTCGTGTTGTTTCACTGTAAACCAGTTCAGGTCTTGGCCTTGTATACTGTGAACTCGTCTCTTGCTCTGGGCTGGATTTCCACCACACTCTTGATATCAGAAGCAAATGTTTTTAGTTTATTTAATTCCTCCTACCCGTGTCGGAAATCACGTCTTGAATCGCTTCAACAGCTTTTCATGGGAGTATTGTTGTCTTGAAAAGCTCTGCAATGTAGTGCGATATCAGTGCTGCGACGAAAAAAAAAATGAGATGTGCGCTCTAAAGACAGCGTCAAACCAATACTGCAAGGAACCTGTGCTTAATGTATTCATTGTCTGAGTCATTGAGTGAAATTTGCGTGAACTGTGTATCAGTTTGTGCGAAGTGTGTTTATCATGTTGGTTGGTGTTGCCAGAGATGGCTTACCTTCACTGCGTTTTGATTACTGCTTTCGTCTTTTTTTAATGTATCTTTGTTTCGAGCAGAGATAACTTTGCTGCTTACTCCTTTCTTAAAACATGTATAGGAGCGGACGTCTCCTATGACGTCATGCCTTATTTCTCGTTTATTGCTTAATATTAAACAGAAAACCTATCCATGTAGTTGCCGCTCACGAAGCTATATTAACAATTACGGAAGAACGCATACGCGCAGTTTTCATTGAAGGCCGAAAGCACACGCAACGCAGCTCGGCTGGCTTCGAAACTTGGCGTCACGTTGTACGTTGTGAATTAGCTCCTATAGTTTTCGCCACATCTGACAGGCAAAATGGCGATGACCCCGGTGAGAGCTACTCTGTCCGTAAGGTCGTTGTTGCGTAAAAGAATCACTCCAACGATGGCTGCAGTGAAAATTCCGAACTGATAAAGCTCCTCTCGCAGCCCGAGGGAGTGATACTATACGATACAATCCTCATTACTAAAGCTCCTGAGTGCGACTGTGGATCTGTGGATTTGTAGACAAGAGTATATGCCAACTTTTATTTTTAGACTGCTCACACTACTGACTCAAGGAGAGGGCGTTTTCGGCGTTTTCAATCAGTACCAATAGCCTTCGACTGCAGACAGTTCAGTATAAAGAAACTTTTTAGCCCAGTGGTCACTCAAAGCGTCACCATTATCAGGTAACTTAAAGTTTCTAATATATAAGGTCACCTATATGCCTATCATAGTTATGTTGTTTTGTCGGTTATGCTGTCTATATGTGATGATTCATTCGAATCTACGTCTTCAACACAAGGCTACATACATATTTCTCCGTACTGTATAATGTAGGTGTTCACATGGCGTTGTAAGTTTCTCGTGATGATGAAAACCGGGAAGGGAATATGGAGGTTAATTATGAATTATTGCTTCGGCGGTAGTGAAGTAGTGGGTGCGTTTCTAATGTATAATAAAAAATGCACTGCTGCGCTATTATTACCTGGATATATCCTTCAGCAAGAAAGGATTTTCACAGTTATTTAGTGCACTTTACTGCAGTATGCGCCACCGTGCAAGATAATCGTAATAACTGTCGTAACGATTGCTACGATTGTTTTCACTTCGTTTTTCTTGCGCCCATTTCATGGGGCAGAGGCTGTCATCCGTATACACGGAGGCAGGAGACTGGAGTGAGGGCACGGGTTATTAAACCCCTAGCCCTTCTGAAATTTCATAGCTCGTATGTGCGTACATATACGCGTTCACGCAGAAACACTTTCGTAGACTCACACAGAGGTCGGGCAACAGTTAAATGAAATGAGTTGTAATGCATTAATGGGGATAAAACCCATTCCGTTGCTGGGATCCAAGCCCTCAACCTTCAAACACGTGTCCGATGCTCTACCGATTGAGCTACGACGGAAAGCATTCGCATGACCCATTCGACGGACATTTTCGTATACTTGTAATTCATTGGAGTGTGAGCCAACGCCACTCGTATCCAAGGTGGCGAGTGTGGATTGTCCATTTGGCTGATTTGGCTGTGTCTAGAAAATAAAAGAGCACATTAAAATAAGTTTCACGAACTTCGTGCAAAATCATGGTTGTAGTTTTGGGGACCTCCGTGGCCCGACCATGACCCAGGGGCCGGACGAACAAGTGCGAACCACTGGTCCGAAGGAGCAGTGACTGTAACAATATCGTCATGAGAATTCTCCCACTATTTGCGCTGCACGTTCTGTTCATGCTGACTGGCACACAATAAAGGCGTTTCGTGCAATAATATTCACACACCTGAGAAAAGGTCGATTAGTTTGGGTGCCTAAAATAAATTTTGCGAACTGCGTACAAAATATGGTTGCAGTTTAGGGGACCTCCGTGGCCCGACCATAACCCATGGGCCGGACCTTGCCGGACGAACAAGCGCGAAACCCTGCCTGAAGGAGGAGCGGCTGCACCAATATCGTCATGAGAATTCTCCATCTCTTTGCGCAGCACGTTCTGTTGATGCTGACTGGTACATAATAAATGCGTTTCGTGCATTAATATTCACACATTATAGAAAAGGTCGATTAGTTTGGGTGCATGGTTATAAAGGGCTGCTTCTAAGCTAAATGGCCGATTCTTTGGCGAAGTCATCAATAAGTGGCCAATTTTAGCGTGTTTTCCACCATCCGCTCATGCGACGACTGCGTGATTTGGCAGGCGTAACGTTATGGAAAGCTATGCAGGTATACAGCACAGACAAATTCCACGGAATGCAAGCAATTACTATATCCCTAGCATGCACCGATCATTTTGTGAAACACGTAAAATAGAAGTGCCAATTGCGAGGCTGCGTTGTCAGGTGCCGGAACTAAATTTCCACCGGTACAAGTCTCGTCAGCCTCTTTCTCCGATGTGCGCTTTCTGTGGCGAGTGAGAAACTATAGGCTATTTCTTTTTGAACAGTAGGTTATTTACTGCGGATCGAAGATTCAGGTTAGAAAGTCCTTCACGTGTCATTGGAATGAATTTATCCGCGTCCATGATTATGTGTTTTTAGACTCTCTTTCTGGGATCGGCAGTGCGAACGTTCACATGGCTGTGTGAAATTACCTGAATGAAACCAATAGAAATAGCGAACTAATTCATGTTATTGGTGGGATCCAAGTCCTTCTGTGTCGTATCCTTCTGTGTCGATACATGCATATTTTTTATTTGTTTATCTTTTTGAAGAATAGGGTGTAGATTTATATATTATATAATATAATAAAACCATTAAATTTCGTAAATTTGATTGAGCATCGAAATTTTATTCTAACATTTGTAAATTTTTTTATTTCTATACCTTTAATTGCTTTGAAGTTCTACAAGACTTTAAAAAGCACTCGATTTGGCCAATCCCCCAGAGTGGGTACGAGCCACAAGAGAAGGCGAACACGAACAAGGATGCTCGCCTTCTCTATTCTAAGAATAAATTCGTTTATGTAAATATTTGTATGCATTACATTAAGCGCCGCAATTTCCTAGGCTATCAGTCGGTGATTGTTCTGTTAAAGCTCCATCATTCCAAATCTGAACAGTAAATGTTGAAAGCACTCGATTCTTGGCCGATCCCCCACAG